CCAGGTCTGCCTGAGTAAGAAGAAAAGGGAGAAAAAATGGGTATGATAGCTACTACCTAGACTGCAGTTACTAGCCTTTTAGGAGGAGAGGGATTAAACTAAATGGTTTCTCCATATACAATCTAGGGCCATCATTCTATCATCCTATGGCTCTTTGATGTCAGAATGCAATTTAGAACTTTTGAAGAATATTAGAAAAGCCAGTATAATTTGCTGTCTCTTGGGCCACAAGCCCACACAGGTCTTAGGAAAGAAAGTGTCAAGGATGGCATTCAGTAAGGATGCAAAAATTACCCAAAGAAATAGATGAAAGAGGGAATAAGATGGCGAAGAATACATTAGGAAGGGAAGTAAACTGTGGAGACATAGAAACTCAGGCAGAAACAAGCTGAATTATGATGCCATATATAAGGTGTGCTGCTTATTTGGTTTTATCTATTTCAGGTACCTGAATCTTGAATATTAATGGAAAGTATGTTTCAGATATAGCACAGGAAACTGTAGAACTATGTCTAGAGAAATTCTTAGGACAATGCTATGAAGAAAAAAAGCTTTATTGAGAATATCTGAAAACCTGAAAATAATGTGCTATCGTGAGTGTACATATGTGTGTGTGTGTGTGAGAGAGAGCGAAAGGGTGAATATGAACATATATATGGGGACACAGGCATCATTAATCCTTCAAATAAATATTTATGAATATCTACTATGATCTAGGCACAAGAACATATTCTGAAAATTAATTGTAAACAAGAAAAACACAATCTGTCTCCTCCCAAAACACAGCCAATGCTGACTGTATGTATCCCCTTCCTCTCCACACACTGAACTACAGTGGGGCTGGCTGACAGAAAGCATCTGCCTGGCTCCCTTGACACCAGGCTCCAGAAAAACACTGGTGGAAGTAGGAGGGACAGAGATGCTAGGGCATCCTTTACCCACTTTCTTTCTCTACTTCTGGACATATTGCTGAGAGTAGCCACATATTTTCAGTGGTCCTCACTTCTTCCGGGTGGCCACTCTACACATGGTCCCATATAAGCCCACAGACTCATGGAACCATCTACCCACATTTTCAGCTCTCATCTGGTCATCCTGGATTTTAAGCTAGCATAACACCATGTTTTCCTTCTGTTGCTCAAGATTCTAGTTGCTGCTAGTATCTTGGCAGGCATATTATCCTGTTCGGCTTCTCAGCTCTTCTGAAACCTCTGTTAAACTATGTCATGTAGAGTGCTTTCCTGACTTAACCCCAACTGATCCACTCCCTAACAGAGTATTTAAACTAAATGGAATTACAGAAGCTCAAGGATGCTTTGGATACATTTATCAGTGGGGACTACCTTACTCTTAAGTCAAGGAATTGTTTCTCAAGGCAATGGACATTTATGCTGAGACCTGGATATGAGTGCATCTAATACCAGACAGTTAAAAAGAAAGGAAGTTTCAGACCTGGCAATAGCTCCCTCACAGTTACCATTTGTGAGTGTCTATATGTGGTAACACTTAGGATAAACTCTCAGCAAATTTCACATATAAAATAGGTTATTAACTATAGTAGCCATGCATATATCAGATCTCTAGAACTGTTCATATAAATAAGAAGTTTGTATCTTATGACCAGCATTTCCCCATTTCCCTCACTCCCCAGTCCCTGGCAACCAACACTTAATCTGTTTCTCTAAGTCTGACTTGTTTAGATTCCACATAAAAGTGATGCCATCTAATATTTGTCTTTCTGTGTCTGGTTTATTTCATTTAGCATTATGTCCTCCCACTTCATCCATGCTGTCTTTTTTAAGGCTGAATAAAAAAGGTTTTGTTTCCAGCATCAGAATAATGGTAGAAAATATATTTAGAATTTAATAAGTATTTTAATTGAATTAAATTAAATTATCCCAACTCTGTTGATCCTTTTCCTTCTGACAATGATTTTATGAGCCATCACCACTAAATATTTAGCCTTTGAAAGAATGAAAAAAACACAGTTCACTTTAATTAGGGCCTATATCAAATGATGGCCACAAAGACTTTGCTTCTCTCTCAAATGTCCTGCTATATGCTGACAGCTTTACATGATTTCCTTGGGAATAGTGTCTTTCTGTTTAGGCTGCAGCACTTTCTATCCTGAAATTCCCTGCTTACCTCAGGGTCCTTTGCCATGTTAAGTGCAAAGTCAAGAGAAAGAGACTTCTCTCATGTGGGATTTGAACTGACAGTGGGCTTGCTTACTTACATAAGAGCTTTAACATTTCCTATCTAATCCCAACAAATATTCCCTGGAGCAATTTTGTGTCATCAGTTTGCTGTGTTCCCTGCAAAACAGACCCAGAGACAGATGTGTATGCAGGTAATGCATTGGGTCACCTTCTCAGGGACAATACCTGTGAAGGGATACATGAAGCAGGACTGAGAAGAGAAGAGGGAGGAATTGGATATGCAGCAGGAACAGAAGCTTCAGACGACCACACTAGATCATGGTGGCTTTTCAGAGAAGCCCTGAATCAAGGCACAGGGTCTAGCCATCTTTGGATGCAGTTCACTCCCAAGGAGGGATCATCAAATGTTGGGCAGCTCAGTGGACAAAGAAAGTGCTCAGTTGCCAGTCAGCATCATGCAACTCTCTTGTTTTCTAGTGCAATGAGTGTCTGCTGGGGGCACACCCAACATCATCACAAATTCAATACTCATTTAAGCAATTACTAATAGAGGAGAAGATAAAAGGAAATTAGAGGTACAGGAAAGAACAGGATTCTTTTCTTGGAGGTAACTAGATAGATGGTTATAAAATAGAGCAGATGGATATAGAAAATTAAAATAATTATAAGATATAATACCTTATTATAGCTAAGAAATATAATATAAATCGGCTAATATTTGTGCCTGGTCTTGTGAAACACAAAGTGTTTTTCTATTAAAATATGCAATTATTAGTATGATATGTGTTAAATTGTTAATATTTATTTTTTTCTTTATAGTCAATTATTTCCCTAAAGTTATCATTGTCTTATAATAGTCATACATATTCATAATGAGAAGAAAAAATATTTTAAAAAGCATAAGAAGGAAATAAGAACATATAATCCCACTACCCAGATGATATACGTTATTTGGTTATATTCTATCAAGGTTGTAACTAGCAGTCTCTCTCTCTTTTGTTCTTTCCCTTTGTCTCTCTCTATCTCATTTTCTACACACACTATATATGTACATATATACATACACATTACATTCACCACAGTATTTTTTATCATAAGGTACATATTATTCTATAACAACTGTATTGTATTTAACATATCATGAACATTTTAATAAGTTCAAATGCTCTTATAAAATATTATTTTACTGGTTACATATAACTATTATACTGATGCATCCTAATTTCTGTATTTCACAAGGTTATAATAATTCATTTAACTGATGAACTACTGCTTCTGATGTAGACAGATAATACTTTAAACCCTTTAATTTTTCTTAAGTCTTGGGCACGTTTTCCTGAAACTCAGTTACTGCAGAATATATGAGAACATATTTTACACGACATGTTTATAATTCCTCAATATGTTCCTCAGCATGTAAGGAGGCTTTGAGGCAGAATTTATCTTTGAAGGTAATTAACACACTAAAATGTTGAAGCATTTAAACATATGATTATTTGTATTGTTTACATTTGGTTGAATACAATTTTTCATTATTACAGAAACTCAGCCATTACCACCAACTTCCCTAAGATAGGATATGCACTAGTTTAATCTTCATTCACATAACTGAGGATTCTTAGATATGAAGCTCCTTTTGCTTTTCTGAAATGCCTCCATTAATAAAAAATGCACAAAATCATTTAAATATTTTAATTCTGGGTGGCTTGCCAGCACCATGTATTGCTAGTGAAGGCACATTAACATGGAGTAATTAAAGAAATGGGTGATGCACTAGATAGGAATTCTTAACATTCTTTTACAGTAAACTCATTTTGTGTAGTAATAAGCTTTGTCATTACAAATGAAATGCACCACCTGGCACAATTAGTGTTATGTCTCTTTTTTTTAGTACATCTTAGAATTGTAGTACAATGTTATAATTGCATTGTTATAGCTCAGACTTAGAAGTTGATTCAAAAAACGTCTTTCTACCAAGACCTGGGTCATTTAATATAACATATTCCAGTAAGGTGCCATGAACTTTTCAAGACAACACAGTATTGGTAAAGTTATGGCAAAAATTTATATATAAGTAGCTAAAACTTTTACATAAGACTACTTGACTCATAATCCAGTGAAAATTGGAGGGTTATATTAAAATATAAACCCAGTAAAATTAATCATGTAAGTTTATAAGGTAAAATTATAACAATAATATTCATCCAAGCATACCACTATCCTTCCATCATACCATGGGAAGATAGGAGGAAATCTAAAAGGGATAGTCTGTTTAATGGGTATGACATTATTAATTAACTTGAGAACAGTTTTTAGTAGGATGAATATAGTACCGTAGCCATTAAATTTAAGATAATGATTGTAATAACACAATTGTCAAAAATACAGTGAATCTCTCAATTATGAGGCAGGTTACTAAGTATATCTTATTCTATATCTCCTAAATTTCATCAAATCACCATGAAATATATAAATGAGAATAAAAATCACAAAACTCCTGAAATCTAAAGATGAAATTAGGAACAAAAAAATATCAGTATTGCTAGATGCATGCTAAATCAGAAGCATAACTCTCAAGCAGTGCTCTTTCAAAATACTTAGGTGGAGCCCCTTTCAAGGAATGACTGGGAGATGGGTATTTTGCTTGCTCCCTCTACACTGAGCCCTGGACAGATAGCTGCTGGGAAACCTGCGTGCTTATAAACACCTGCTCTGTTGCTACAGTCTTGTAGGTCTCAGGGACACAAGCCTCAAGGAAGCTGAGTTCCTTCCCAATTGTATGGTGCCATGCAAGGGATGGGGGTGTGGGTCATAGCAAAACTGCCCCTTAGTCTTTCCTACCTGTTTTGATGTATTTTTTTCTCATTCACCTGTGTGCCCATGAAGGTGGAAGTTCAGGAGCTTGTTATGTTGCCATCTTGGTTGAAACCTGAAAATGTATTTAATTGAATGACATTGTAATTTTAAATTGTTGGTTACAGAATTTTGTTGCCTGACTTTTAACAATGTTGGCCTTTGTTCTGACAGACTGTTGAGTTTCATAAAAATCCTTTTGGTCAGAGTAAGTCTAGAGGAGGAATCAGCAAACTTTCTATAAAAGGCCAGACAGTATCTAAAAAAAAATTTTTGAGTTTTGTAGGCCACTGGTCTCTCTCTCAACTAATCGACTTTATTATTGTAATGCAAAAACCTCTATAGATGATATATAAATGATTGAGAAAGGGCTGTGTTTCAATGAAATTTGATTTACTAAATAGGGCAGTGAGTCAGACTCGGTCCTTCGTTTGCTGACCTTTATCCTAGTTAGTCTATGCTACAAGAGTAGTTCATTCCAATTACTAAAGCACGGCCTTTCTGGCATCTCTACTATATGGCCTATGGGCTTAATGAGGTTTCTTCACTTGGACTGCTGGATTTTGGAAAGATCCATGGCCCTGTTTGAAGTACAGCAATTGTTTGACTACAGAAATCTGGCAATTATTCTTTCCTCTGAAATTTTCCTTCGTGTGCTCATGAAGTTTCACCTTAAACACGCCGACTGGCATGCAGGCTAAGATTCAAAAGGATCCTTATGCAGATTTCCAAAGTTCTTTCCCTGTGTAACTCCCTCCTCACTGGTAATTTGCTTCCAGCTATTTTAGCTACCTCAGCTTCTCCATACTCCAAACTCTTGACTCTTTCAATCAAAAAGTCCACCGCACAGGTCTTTTTGGTTGGCCCTCCTAGCTCAGGTTTGGAAATTGCCCATAGGTAGAAATCCAGGATGATTGAATGCAGTTAGCTCCTTTGTTTCTCTTATCTCACAGTCCCATGTTGACTGTGTCCTGTGTCTCAAGACAAATGTTTTGTCTAATTTCCTAGTGGTTTATGGAAAGAAGTAAGATCTTATGTAGAAGAATAAAGCCCCTAAGTAGCTTTTGTGAAGAAGCTTTTTATCAAGAAACTGTAAATCTACACACATTTTTCCTGAGGAATACTTTTTGGCACTTCTGAAAAAAACAAAAACAAAAAACAGAACAGGTAGATTACTGTTCTTCCCTATAATCTTCAAGAAGTTAAAAGCTGTAAAGTTTCCCAGTGCTTTAGGTGGGTAGAGTCCAACTTTTTATATATACCTTAGGAACAGTGGCTATAACCAAGAATGTTCTTGTACATTAGGTGTGTATGTTGCTCATTTGTATACTTAAAAACATAATTATGTAAAAATATTAAAAAGTTTAAAATTTCATTGTATATTCTGACAGTTTATCCCAGCTAGGAAGGGGTTACACAGGAAAATTTGGAAGAAAATTCAAGTTCTTTTTTTTTAACTGAAGTATCATTGATAATACAATCTTATGTTGGCTTCAACTATACAATACAATGGTTCAACAGTTATCAATATTATTAAGTGCCCACCCCCACTAGTGCAGTTACTATCTGTCAACATAGGAAATTGTTACAGAATCACTGGCTATATTCTCCATGCTGTACTACTGTCCCCATGACCAACTTACATTATGATTGAGAATTTTTGTGCTCCTTTATCTCTTTCACACTTCACCCACCCCAACAACTCACCCATGGTAACCACAAGTCTGTTACTTCTCAGTGTCTGTGGGTCTACTGCTACTTAATTCATCTTGTTTTGTTTTGTTTTTATATACCACAAATAAGTGAAATCATATATATTTGTCTTTCTCCCCTGACTTTTTTCACTTAACATACTACCCTCTATATCCATCCTGTTGTTGCAAATGGCAGGATTTCCTTTTTTATGGCTGTATAATATTCCATTGTGCATATATACAACATCTTCTTTATCTATTCATCTATTGATGGACACTTAGGTTGCATCCTTAACTTGGCTATTGTAAAAATTGCAGCAATAAACATAGGGGTGCACATATATTTTTGAATCAGGATTTTGATTTCTTTGGGTTAACTCCTAGAAGTGGGATTACTAGGTTGTATGGTAGTTCTATTTTTAATTGTTTAAGGAACCTCCACATTGCTTTTCATAGTGACTACACTAACTGACATTCGTACTAACAGTGTAGGAAGGTTCCTTTTTCTCCACATCCTTGACAACACTTGGTATTTCTTGTCTTTTGAATAGTGGCTGTTTTAACTTGTGTGAGGTGATATTTGTGGTTTTGATTTGCATTTCCCTGATGATTAGCAATGTAGAGCATCTTTTCATGTGCCTGTTAGCCATATGTATTTCTTTGCAGAAATGTCAATTCAGGTCCTCTGTTCATTTTACAATTGGGTTATTTGTTTTTCTGGTGTTGAGGCATATGAGTTCTTTATATATTTTGGATGTTAAATCCTTATGAGACAAATAATTTATGAATATATTCTCCCATACTGTAGGTTATCCTTTTCTTCTACTGATGGTGTCCTTTGCTGTACAGAAGCTTTTTAATTTGATGTAGTCCCACTTGTTCATTTTTTATTCTGTTTACTTGCCCAAGGAGATGTGTCCAGGAAAAAATTACTCATGCTTATGTATGATCAAGAGATTCTTACCTGTTTTCTTTTAATAGCTTTAGGGTTTCATGTGTTACATTTAAGTCTTTATCCATTTCAAGATTACTTTTGTGTATGGACTTAGACAGTAAACAGATTCATTCTCTTGCATATAGCTGTCCAGTTTTACCAACACCAGTTATTGAAGAGGCTGTCTTCTCTCCATTGTATATGCATGGCTCCTGACCATATATGCTTTGGTTTATATCTGGGCTCTCTATTCTCTCCATCCATATAATATATGGGTTTGCTTTTCTGCCAGTATAATACTGCTTGTTTACTGTAGCTTTGTAGTAGAGCTTGAAGTAAGGGAGCATAATACCCATGGCTTTGTTCCTCTTTTTCAGGACGGCTTTAACTATTCAGGGTCTTTTGTGATTCTATATTAATTTTAGAACTATTTGTTCTAGTTCATTGAAGAATGCTATTGGTATTTTGATAGGGATTGCACTGAATCTGTAAATTACTTTGGGTAGATTGGCCATTTTGCAATATTAATTCTTCCTATCTATGAGCATGGTATAGATTTTCATTTATTTCATTATTTCATTATTTCTTTTCTCTCATGAGTATCTTATAGTTTTCAGAGTACAGGTTTTTTCACCTCCTTGGTTAGGTTTATTCCTAGACTTTCATTCTTTTTGATGCAATTGTAAATGGAATTGTTTTACTGATTTCTCTTTCTACTAGTTCATAGTATATAGGAATGCAACAGATTTCTGTGTATTAATTTTGTATCCCTGCAACTTTGCTGAATCCAGTTATTAGTTCTAATTGTTTTTGGTAGACTTTTTAAGGTTTTCTATATACAGCATCATTTCATCTACAAATAGAGACAGTTTTGCTTCTTCCTTAGCAACTTGGATGCCTTTTATTTCTTCATCTTGTCTGATTACCATGGCTTGGACCTCCAATACTATGTTAAATAATAGTGATGAGAGTGGATATCTTTGTCTTGTTCCTGATCTTAGAGGAAAAGCCTTCAGCTTTTCACCACTGAGTATGATGTTAGTTGTGGGTTTGTCATATGTGGCCTTTATTAGGTTGAGGTACATACCCTTTACCCATTTTGTTGAGAGTTTTTATCATGTAGTTTATATTGTGTCAAATGATTGAGACAATCGTGTGGTTTTTATCCTTCTTTTTGTTAATGTGGTATATGATTGTAACTCTGGGAGGGAAATATGTCCCCAGCCCAGGGCAAATAAATCTTTGAAGGTGAAATCAGTCAAAGGAAGAAATAAAGTGGAAGAAATCTCTTTATTACTTACAAGTAGTTGCCCACTCCTGCTCACCTGTGTCTCTTGTGACCCAGCTGCAAAGAAGCCAAAAATACCTCCCTGGTCCAGGTGCTCCCTTGCTCTGCACCCCTACATTGTAATCACCTATTGATATGGAGATGATTACTTCTCCCCATCCCTTGGAAATACCTATTTATATGGAGATGCACTAAGGCAAGGTGAAAGATTTGGAAATATTGCAATTTTGCCACTTTGATGTTGATTGATTTATGAATATTGTACCATCCTTGCATCTCTGGAATAAATTACACTTGGTCACAATGGGTGATCCTTTGGATGTATTTTTGAATTCAGTTTGCTAATATTTTGTTGAGAAATTTTGCATCTATATTTAGGGATATAGGTCCAAATTTTCTTTATTTGTAGTGTCTTTGTCTGATTTTGGTATTAGAGTGATGCTGGTCTCATAGAATGAGTTTGGAAGTATTCCCTTGTCTTCTAGATTTTGGAATACTTTAGGAAGAATGGATATTAACTCTTTAAATGCTTGGTAGAATTTGGCTGTGAAGCCATTTGGACCTGGACTTTTGTTTGTTGGGAGTTTTTTGACTGCCAATTTGATTTCATTGCTGGTAATTGGTCTGTTCAGATTTTGTTTCTTTCTCGGTCAGTCATGGAAGATTGTATTTTTCTAGAAATTTGACCATTTCTTCTTGGTTGTACACTTTATTGGCATATAATTTTTCATAGAATTCTCTAATAATTCTTTGTATTTCTGTGGTATCCATTGTGACTATTCCTTTTTCATTTCTAATTTTGTTTGTGTAATCTCTCTTATTTTCTTGGTAAGTCTGGCTAGGGCTTATTTATTTTGTTTATCTTCTCAAAGAACCAACTCTTTGGTTTCATAGGGTTTTTTTTTTTCTACTGTGTTATTCTTCTGTATTTATTTATTTCTGCTCTGACAATTATTATGTCCTTCCTTCTACTATTTTTGGGTTTTATTTGTTCTTTTTTTCCTGGTTTCTTTAGTTTCTTGAGGAAGGCCTTCACTGCTATGTACTTCCCTCTTAGAATCACTTTTGCAGCATCCCACAAATTCTGGACTGTTGTATTTTTGTTTTAATTTGTCTCCATGTGTTAATT